CCATCAAAACGATCCACATTTTGATCAATACAGCTGCTTCAACTGCAATCAAATTATGCTGCAACCGATCAAGCTTTACAATCGGGTTTGTAAGCCTGGTAAGATGAAAGCACAAAAAAATTAAAATAAAATCAACTTTGATTCACCAAAATATCCAATAAGACCAATGAGTTGTTTCAGGTTTCACCAGTTTACAGTTTAACCCAATGATGCTCACTAAACTCTAACCTTTGAGTCAGAACTAAAACATTGTCTCAACTTTAATCATAAAGTAACCTTTATAATCATGTTTCTGGTTAAATAATGTAAAATAACCTAATGATATCATCAGCCGTTAAACTCTGACTAAACAAGCTCTTAAAGTGTTAAAATATCCCAAAGACAACCCAAAGGTAAACCTAAAATGTAAGTCTTGTCTTTCCAATTTATTGTTAGCAAAATGCTGCAAAATAACCAGAAAATGTTTTGAAACGTTAACTCTGACTGAAGTGAAATACAAAGACAACTCAAAGATCAATAAAACCCCAATTTTTTCCGATTTCTTGTTACAATAATAACCCGATGAAGTTGATTCGGATTAACTGGTAAAGCTAAATCAACCAGATAACTGTTATCTAAATGATCATGAAGTGTCTACCCAAAATTGAACCTGACTTGTTTTAAGTGTATTTAAAGGTAAAGTTGAGTTACAAGGTCAACTTTACATCACCATGTTTTTTCATTTGAATCTGTAACAATTTGTCATTTTTAATTTAACTCTTGACTTCCTTTACCTGTTTATCAATGCTTTTCATCGTCACTTTAACCGTTTAATTAAGTTGCAACTGATGAGTATTCAAAATGTTAGTTCAGCTCTGATTGTCATATCAAGTGAAACAAAAGACAACAACAATGAAAGGCCTCATTTTTGATCAACTAGACAATTGTAGTCTAAATAGTAGGCCGAAGATGGTTGCCTGATTGTCTTCAAATTGTCAAGTTGAACAACAGAATTAAACATTTGTATCGAATTACAATCAATTTGCAATTGAGCTCCATTAATGTCACCATATATCATGTAAACTCTTGGACTGGAATCAAAAGACAAAAGCCTGGAATCATAATGATGATAATTTTTGCTTTTTGATATTGGTTAAGGAAAGCAGAGAAAAGAGCGAGAAAAAAATCTCCAAACCAATTAACTGAACAGAATGAATGGTTCCATGGATCACCGAGAAACCCTATTTTTGTGCCCAATATTGAAACAATCATTAGTGTTAATGTTATCATCATTGTTATTGACTATTAACATGTTCCACCTTTCAATATGAATCAATCGATGGCAAATTGTTTCAATATTTTCTGCTGTAAATATGATTGAACAAATAATGGAAATGAATTGATCTAAAGTCAATATCAAGTTAATCAAAGCAATAAAGTTACGATTTAAAAACAATTTAGTGAAACAAGAAAATGAAAGTTTAAACTGGAATCAACATTTATCAGAATGAAAAAGCAATGAAAGTGAAATTTTGAGACCTTTTCAAGTTTCATGAGTTTAACTTCAATCGAAACATTAAACTTTATTTGATCAACTAAATGACTTGGAAATTAATTCCCTGTGTTTCTGTGTGTTCCATCATTTCCCATGGATTCTGTGGACATTTATGTCAATTGATTTTGGAGGCAAAAAAATCCTGTTGAAGGAAAAACGAAAAAGATTTCATTTGAAAGCAAACAAAAAGTGAATCCATTTTTTAATTACTGCCAACATCATCATCATTCTGATTAATATCATCATTTTTTGCCCACTTATTAATGTTAATTATGTGTAAATAACTGTGACAAAAGTGAGGAATAGAAGTGGAAGAAAGAAGGAAAAAGTTGATGATTAACTAAATGAGTGTTTAGTTGATGATAAAAATGAAAATAAAAGAGCGACTCATGCATTTGATTTGGTTTTATTGAAAGAAAAGGTTTACACAGCTTTTTGCAACATTTCTTCCCCTGGATTTCACCAGTTTCACCGAACAGAACTGTTCATTGATTAAGCAAATGGCATGATAATTAAACAAGTTAACAGTTTGCAAGATTCAACAGCCAAATATAGCCAACGTACACACAAATGATTAATGATATTCAATGAGTGACGAAGGAATCAGGGAAAGATGCAAGTAATGTTGATATCAAATGTTAATAGATTGTTCATCATAATGATGTTGATGGTAAAGATGATCATCTTTTTTCAGCATCGGTTGACAGTTTAACGCGTAAAGTGAAAGTAAACAAACTGAACACTTGCAATCATTTCCGATCTTTTTTCATTTTCTTCACCTAAAGTAGGCTTCGATTTTCATTGACTTTTTTTCAGGTTAATACTTTGTTCTTAACAAGTTTCCTTCTTATATCATTTTCATCCTCATCTTGATGTTTGTTTTTTTTTCTGATTTTGCCTTTATGACAACGATTCAACGTGTCACCGGAAGCCTGGTGAGATGATGTTCAACCAGGGTATTCAGGGGAAGCTTAAAAAAAGAAGAGAATCTCAGTTTTATATTGAAAAATAATGGTGATGATACAGATGATGGTGATAACTGTAGATGCATAATGGATGTCAAGTTGAGTTGGTGTTATTTAACCAAACAGTTAGGATGTAAAAGTGAATCACCATTTGAGCTTCCGTGCTCTATCAACACTGAACATCATGGTTTGCCTTTAAAAACATCAGCTTTCCTCTTTTAACTTCATCTTGTTTCATCTTCTTCCTCTCTCCTGTCAATGACTTTCTCTCTTTCACCATCAATCTTCTCTTTCTTTTTTCTCTCTCTCCTTTTCTGGTCCTCCATCAACAACAACAAAAAGGTTAACTTTAAATTTGTTGCTGTTTTGGTGAATTTTGTCGAGAGGTTCATCTTAAATAAATCGTTCATTTCAACTTTAAGATTGATGTGTGAGGTTGACTTTTGTTGATGATTTTTGAATTTGGTTAAGAGGAAGAAAAGTTCAGCTGAAAAAAAACATTCTCTCAACCTTTTTCCTACTTTCTAGTGAATCTAGGAATTTATCAAGAAAAATGTTCAATTTTAAAGTTAACTAATATTTTTCATCATTCACTGTTTTACCCAAAAACACTTCAAAGATTGAATTTGAAGCTCTTTGAATCTACTTTATTATAAAAATGAAGTGAAAATTTTAGGCCATTTTAACCCAAAATAGTTGAATGTGAAATGGTTAAATTAGTATTACAATTGAATTGGTAAAAGGTCAAGCGAGAAGAAGAAGCAAAAAATGAATGAAATGTTCAAGTTTAAGGATATTGAATGCATAAAAGAAGTGAATATTGAACAAGAATCAACTGAATATTGAAAAATTGTTTGATTGCAGGTTTTACTTTTTTCTTCATTGAATATCATTTGAACAGTAAACCTTGTTCGATGAAAGATAGTCTTGACCAACTGATTACCTGTTAAATGGCTACTTTTTTACCTTCTCAATTGTACAATGAAAAGGCTTTATTATCATCACCAATTGTCCCAAATCTGTAGATTCACTAATTTACGATTGATTGGTTGCACGACTCAATGAGCTGCTTCACTGATGACGATGACCCAACTAAGAGAGAGAGAAAGGTCAATGATAAGGTGACCAATGGCCAAGATTTTAAGCAACAACCAAATCTGTTTGTGAAACTCAGGCTAAGAAATGAAAAAAGTAAACTCAAAAAAAGCCGTTAGAATTTCATGGTTCATGGAGGTTGATAGAGAGAATGAGATGCAAAAACATGAAATGAATTGAAATGAAAAGAAATGAGAGAAAATAAAAATTACGGTAAAAGTGGACTTTTGCCTTTTCTATTAAAGGTAATCATAAGATTCAATTTCATTGACCAGGTATTTAGGTTAACGCTTAAAATGACTTATTACTTGGCTATTTTTCATGCAATTACTCAGGTTACTTGTGATTCACTGGATACTGAATACTGTCATTATAATCTTTATTATCATTGTTGTTATCATCAGTTTAGATACATTTTTTTTATGGTTAACAGTTGGAATAATAAAGAAGCGCTTAACTTGATGAACACTGAATTTCAGTTCTTGGCTACTGTTTTAAGCTATTATTCATTTGATTGCAAGATAAACACAAGAATCATTTTTAATTATTAAAAGCTGAGCAAAGCTGCAGGGTCACTGAGCGCACGATTCAACAGCACCTCAACGCGTTAACCCATCAACATCAAGATCATCTTTTTTTGCCCTTCTTTTTACCTTGCAACCTTTTAACACCTTCATCTTTCCTTCATCATCATCATTATCTTCTTTGCTCTTCTCTTCTTCAACAATTTAATCTTCTTAACTTGTTCTTTTGTTCCGATTTTGCTTGGCGTTTTTTTTGTTCATTTCATTGTCCTGTAGTTTCATGTTGTTGTCATAATTTTCACTCAACAATCATCACTTGATAAAGACGAAAAGCTAATCTCATCAACTTTTCATTAAATCTTTCATTTTCCTTTCCCTTTTTACCTTCATCCTTCACCATGATCATCATCAAACATTGATAACTTGCTGTCCATCATTCCTCTGTTTACCTGTTATAATTAAATCTAATTCAGTGAACAACTTTTACTCCAACCAAGGTCTATCCAATTATCATTTATATCATCAAATTGTGTTTACCTTTCATTACCAGATTATTGTGGTTTCTCATGTAAAGCTTGAGCCAAGCAAAAAGCAGTCATGATCATCTGGTAAGATTAAGCGACAAGTTATCAAGCTTTATTGATGGATTTACACAAATGTAATACAAAGAAGCAAAAAAAACAGTGTTAATCATTGTTGAAAGAAATGAAAATGTTAAAGAAACGACAAAAGTCACTTTACTCTGATTACCTCAACCCAATTGTTATTGTTTAATTGAAAACCCAAATATAAATAAGATTTCAATATCCAACAGTTGAACCTAAAAATGAGCTGAAAAGGTCTAAATGATTATTTGGTTACATTTTTCTGGTTAAGATGTTACCAGTAAAAATAAAAACATAAACAGTTATTGTGTTTGCTCATCTATTGTTACCCGATTTTTGTTTTGTTAATTGTTGCTCATGCTTTTCATTGATCACCCTAAATACCAGAAAAAAAGGTTACTCCATGAAGATTCCCATCAACTTCATCTCCTTGCTGTCATCAAACATTACCAGATTTTTGATTCGCTGATTGTGTCGTCTCCGGTAACATCTTCACATCTTCAACTGATAAACCACAATCATTTTTGCCTCTTTTTTTGTCTTCTTCTTTCTCTTTTTATCTTCTCATTTTCCTCTTTAATTTTCTCTCTCTAAAAGTGTCTCTCATGATGATCTCTCCCTCTCCCTCATTGATTGAGTCAGTTGATAGTTACTTGGTATCATTCATTTGTTCACTTATGATTGTGTTTATTGTGTTTCTTATCCTTTGCTTCCAAGCATGATTCATATTCACATATCCTTTGATTGTGTTATTTTCCTGTAATTGCCATCATAGTTTAATAGTCATTTGGCTAAAACTAAAATCAACCTGAAAGTGTTAAACCTTGTGATTATTGATTACCATTTCTTTTTCAACTCTTCATGTCACAATTAAGTAAGTTTTTCAGTTTCTTAATATCTCAATATTTACTTTTATTATATAAAAATCAAACATTTTCAAGTTTACATTTCAAGTTTAAGTCTGAATATGTAATTACACTAAAAATGTATGACAACTCATGAGATTATAATCAGGGTTCAAATTGCTTCTTTCAATTGTAAGTGTTTCTCAAGCAAAAAATGAACCTTTTGATTTATTGAATCATACTCTTATCAAATGTGTGTTCATATTTGCTCAAATTAATCTTATTTTTCGTTCTTTTTTCTTCTTCTTCTCTAATTAAATAACACATTAATTGCATGTGCTTGCAATTGAAACCTTACATTTGCCTTTTTTTATGACTAACTATCCATAGTTTAACCATCAATTTGATCAATCAATGATGAAAATGGCAAAAGAAAATATTGAACAGAGAAAAAAAAAGAGATAACTTTTTTAACAATTTGATGGCTTCAAAATTGATTGATGATTTATAACGAGAGAGGTTAAGAGAAAAAAGATTGAAGATTATTTTATCGAAAGAAGGAGAAAAATTCTTGACTCATCCTGAGGTTTGTAATAAGCATTACATAGAAGTAGAGAAATTTTAATCTAGAAGAATGAAGAGTCATGATATTGGTAGGTCAGGTCATCTTTAAAAGGTCATCCTTCTCGAAGCAAAGTACATTTAAATGTCTTAACAAAAGGCATTATTGATTGTAAACTTGTGATGTTCAAAGGTCCAGGTTAACCTTATTGTAAAGGTAAAAATAGTTGAAAGTAAAGACTGAAAGTAACATAAGACGAATAAGATGAAAGATGTTTTTTTTCAAAAAAAGTCTGCTCGTGTCCAAAGATATGGATGAAGAAAAAAGGACATGTGGAAGAGGAAAAGCGATGAAAAAATAGCTTTTAAGAAAGGTAATAAGAAATGCATAGAGAGAGAGCAATACGACAGAAGAAAAGGTAAATACCTAAAGGTTCTTTTACCTTGAAGAAAAAGTCTGTTGAACAATTATCATGATAAACACAAAACCATCTGTCGTCTTCTGGCGTACGACTTACAATCAGTGCGTAGTAACTAGACCCATGCGCCCCTTGACCTCACATTGAACATCCCTTATCCATTGAATGACCTTCTTTCTTTACCTTCTCTTTTCTTCCTTCGTCTTTATTCATCTTCTTTGTCATCTCTCTCTCTTTCGGCCCTTCCCTTTACTCTCTTCTTCACCAGGAATTCCTTCAAATTGATGGGTTAAGGGGAGAGTTAAACGCGTGCTGCCTTTGATTATACAAAACGCGTTAAGCACGTTCACTGTGCAGATGTCCATGTTAACGATGCTTCTGTTAACGGAGCTCTTTAAATTCATTTACAGGGAAAAAAGTTTACATCTTCAAGACCAGTTTAGAGTGAGAGTCTCTCTCTCTTCTCATCCAAGTGACCCTCTTTTAGACTCTTTTCAATCTTTTAATGCACAGTTTTCGTTGAGACTGTAAACTGTTAACTTAGCTTTTTTTGCTTGTTTACAGTTTTCATTTTAACCTTCATTTGATATTTTTTGAGCTTCTTTCATCATAACTTTTTTGTCTTCATTTGTTTTACATCATTTTTTGCTCTTCGTCTCATTTTATCATTTTATATTTTCTCTCATTTCTAACTGTTGTTATTGTATAAAAACTATTGAATTGTGCCTTTTTTGTCAACAAAAATCAAATTGTTGGCTTAATTTACTTGTGACTTTAAAATTGTTAACCCGAATTTGGACTTTTTGATTTCTACTTTTTTCGCTTTAATGTTACTCTGATTATTATGTTTGCTGTTTACGGTTTATAGTTTGAAATTTAATCATGAGTATCTTGTTGAATTCATCGACCATGAGATCTTTGGTCAACTCTATTATGATGGGTGGTTCATCACACAATTATAGTTGCCATCATAATGATCATGATGACCATCCTTACCTTAAACATAACCATTCAAAGCAAAACTCATTCTCATCTGCTGAAATTATGTCTACTATTACAGAATCTTCCAATTCTTCCATTGACTCGGGTACTTTTGATGTTTTTGACGATCCTGATGATCATTTCTACGATGAACCTTTACTTTCCTCTTGTGATTACACTCTTGATGATAATAAATATCGGAAAACATCATCTTCATCATCCTCTTCCTCTGATGTCATCACAATATCAACAGTCAACTCTTCATCCGCTATTGACTCACTTTTAATTGGAACCAACTATAAGCCACTTAAAAATCTTGAAAATTCTCAACACAAACAATCATCAACCTCATCACCTAACCAGGTAATAAACAAACCTAAACTTCGACCACCAAAACCTCCGAGACATATCAACCCCTTGACTGGTAAAAAATTGATTAATCCCAATCAAGAAAGTTCATCCAAACTACCTCTAACTTTACCTCCAAAAGGAGTCCGATCTTTATCAACATCCTCATCCTCGTCAGGAGTAAGTTCAGGATCACCTTCGCCCTCACCATTGACACCAACTTGTCCACCCTCACCACCACCACCTCTACCTCCTCCGTGTATCTCAAGAAAACCTGATCGACCTCCGCCACCGGTGCCTGGTCATCCACCGAAGCCACTTAGAAAGAAAAGTGAAATTGTTCCAATTAAAGGTAAAGAGCAGCCTGATGGTTCACTGAGTGTTAACCAAGTGACAATTAGCCAAGAACCAGTCAGCCAAGCAAGTGACAGTAAAGGATCAAAGAACCAAGAGATTGACGTAAAACCCTCAACAGCACCAATGGCTGTCTTGAATCGATCTCGTTCAAGTCAAGGATCTTTTTATGAAACTGCTTTCGATAGTAAAGCTTTAATCCACGATAATTTACATCGTGATCAAATGAACCATCTTAGTCATAATCATTCAATCAGCCATCGTCAACCATTAAACCTATCAACATATCATTCTCAACATCATCATCATCGATCCACTGAGGGTAACTCTTCAGTCTCATCATTTATTCCCGATTTCATAAACTCTTCCCGATCATCTACTGCTTCATCAACAGGATCATCATCTTCAACCGGCCATGAGTCCAGTTCAAGTACACCTAAACATCTTGATCAACTGGCAAAATCATTGATGCCTCGACGACAAGGAGTCAAGTCAACCATTCACATACCTCGAAGTAAATCTAGTGATGTCACCCTTAACCTATCAACTGTCCCTTGTAACTCATCGTCTTCCTCTTCATCTTCACCGGTTAATCAAGTTGATCAACCATCTAACAGTAAACCTACAACTTCACCAACCTCAGCCAATCAACAACAACAGTCTAATGAGGCGTCAGCTAAACGCAATCAACGAGCTAAATTGAGCTCTTTATCAACCTTTTCAAGTTTACTTAAATCGGCCACAAGCGATGCATTGTCTTCCCTTGACTGTGAAGCCGGTCGAGTTTTAACCCGGACAAGATCAAATCTTGACTCATTACGTTTATCAATTCATGAGAGAAACGGTCGAATTAACAATTTAACTAAAGAAGATATCGCAAGCTGTGAATCGCTCGAATCAAATCGCAATCAGGCATCAACCAGCGCCAACAGAAACAGTGTTTGTAAAGTTGTTTCCTCAAATAGCTTGTCATCAACAACAGCAACCACAACAACATCTAATAATAACAGTCTTAATAATATAATGACGGTAAACAATAAAAACAGTAACAACTCTTCCATGCTCAACATGAACAACAATGCCAACAGTAAAGTAACTGTTAGCGATAAAATACCTGTTAACCGATCATTTCGTCGGTTGAATCTTAAACTAGACGAGACTCGATCATCAATCAACCTATCAAGTCCCAAACTGCAGAGTCCGTTAACTGATACCAGACCTTTGGATGATTACGATACTCCCTGGGACTCTAATCAACGATTAAACAAAGTATTTAATAAATTGATCAACACACCGACAAGTGAAAAATTTACAACTGATTGCTTTCCAAGTGTCAATTCAGCCAAGCTGGCAACACCTTCAACTGAATCCAATCCAATATCCAATGATTCTCCTTGTAATGGAGATTTAAAGGAGAGAAAAAATTCTGCTGATTATGGTCAACGGATCGACAAGAGTGATGACCAGTCAAGCCAACAGAAGAGTTCCAATGGATCAACTCATTCAAGTAACTCTTCCTGTTCAGATAATGAAACCAATTATGTTAAAAGTTGTTCATTAACATCTCCAAATGAACCAGTTAAAGACGTTAAACCAGAAAGACCTAGAAAATTATCTTTACCATTAAGTAAGTTGACCATAAATTTAATCAACTTTCAACCCAAATTTTACCTTGAATAGCAAGTCAACTGTCAAAGAACCCAATTGTGACTGTTTAACCCAGAAAATTTATATCAATTAATGATGCTCATCGGCAGCCATATTTTACAATTAGCTTGATTCTCTTGAGAAAAGGTTGACAATTTTAATGCAACTTAAATAGTTTGATAGCAATAACTGGAGAATCACAGAAATCAGAAATGATTTGGAATCAATCTCTTGAGTAAAATTGTAATCTGATGAGTTAGAGTTTACTTTTACTCTTCATTTTCATGATTATGTCAAATATCTTTGAGCTTTTAGTTTTAACTTGCTCCAGCAATCAATGATTTTTACCTTTATTTTAATGATGAAAGTTTATTTGATCACAGTTAACAGCAATTGAAGTAAAACATTTATTTACATTACAGAGTCGCAATTCGAGCTCTGAAAGGTTGCCCATGAGGATTGGGTTAAGAGTCTATAACAATGAAATTAGATTGTTAACTGTAAATGTGATTAAGATGATTGAAAAGGTTAAATGAAAGGTCTAAAGAAATGATTAAGATTCCATTTTTAGAGCAATTAACTTGCAATTTCGTAGTTGTATCAAGAATCTTTGCAATGATTGTTAAGCTTATTCATTAGAATTGCAAAAACTCAAATCAGTGCAAAGAATGTTTCAAAATGTTTAAATTTTTCAAAAAATAGTCAAACATGAAGAGAAACTTGAAAGAGAAAATTGATTTTGCAGCTTTTCTGAATTCCTGGATGAACTTTTAGAAATGTCATTTTCTATTTACAATGTAAAACTGATTGAAATTATGATTATTATCTTGAATTTTGTGCTTTATGATACTTTAATCAACTTTTAATCTGATTGAATGGTGCAAAGAAAATGCCGTTTCTGGAAATGTTGGTTTGACAGAAGAAAAGCGGATTTTATGTCATTACGATTAGTTGAGTGATCAGTGATCACCATGATTATCATGATAATTTGTAAATATTTTTTTCTCTCTCAAATAAAAATAACTATTGATATAAGAAGAGATGAAAAAGGAAACAAAAAATGTTTCCATTTTTTTCTCTTCTTTTAAACCCAGAAAAAAATTGAGCTGAAAAACTTGTAAATCAGCTTAACACAATAATGGTTGCAATTTCAAGTTGATCTGTTAATCAGGATAAGATGTGTTGACCTCAGACATTGACATATTTGAACAACATATTCATTTGTATAATACAGTAATTTTTTGCAAAAGCTTTGATAAAGAAAAAAAAAGGAAACCCAAAAACTGAGGAACCAAGATTAAGGTTATCGTCAATTTTGGCAAATGCAGCAAATGTAATACAATCAATGTAGTTTTTTTCATTATCATGATCAGGACAATCATCAAATTACTTGATATTTGCATAAATTACTTGGTGAGCCTTACAAGTTACTTGCAAAACTGTAATGGTAATAATAGACTTGTTTTGAAGGGTCAACTTGTCCATCGTTTAAAGGTTAATTACGAGTGTAAGGGAACCAGAAAAATAAGGTGGGCTATTTAATTCACTGATAGGCTTGTTAATTTGATTTGGTTTTTATATTAAACCCAGATATGATTAAATTTGATTTGATGTGCCATTGGTTAGTCTACCTTTTGTTATACAACCTTTTGACGGATTGGTGTCTCAGGGAAATGACCTTTTCCTATGTATTAAACTTGGAACCTGGGATCACTTGAAGAGGCTTCTTCTTTGTCTGGGCCCGGGTCCGCCCTCAGGGTAAAGTGGTGGTGGGCCTATTCAAGGTTTCCCTCTTTTGCTTCTCACTCTTGATCATGATCATCATAGACACACTTAACAACACTCTTTCATCCAGGGTTAGGACATGTAATACACTATTACATGTTATAACTATAGTTTGTGTATCGCGGGCGTGAGGCCTTGTTGGTAGCTTATTAAAATCTAGGCTATAACCGGATTGATCTTTCCCCTGAAAAACATTGATTTGTCTGATGATGAACAGGCTAAAGGTGATGATGATGTTCTTGTTCATCTTTTTTTCTTTCTTTCTTTTTCTCTCTTTCTTTCTCTTCTTTATCAACTCTGCCTCTTCCAGGATCATCAGATTAACCCTGGAGAAAATCATGTTACTTTAATCAGTCAGGAAAGAAAAGTGTTGACCATTATAATGTTTAGTTTTTGTCTGTGCATTCATTTGGCTTTTTTTCAGTTTAACCTGAAGTTTATCTTTTGTTATTGAGAAGCTTTTACTTCAGGTAAAAGTTATTACGCCAAATGCAATTCTTTTCAGGTTTCCTTCCTTTTTACTTAACTAATTTGCTTAATACACCGAGCTTCTTATATGCATTGGTTCTTGTTAACTTTCCTTTTAATGGTTCCATTTCAATGTTTGTTTTTTCATCAGATAGTTCAATTATGCATAAGAAGGAAGCAAATTAATTGTTTCATAATTGTGCTTGTAACTAAGGCTTAAATTTGCTTTTAATAATTACATTGCAGTTGAAAGGGTTTAGATCATTACAAATCAATTTTTCCTGGAAACTTTCTTTCTCAGATTTACTATCCAAAATGAATGAACTGAATGCATTATCTTTCAATTCAGAAGGCGAAGAAATTAAATTTTTAGAAAAATTAAATACACTAAAAGTCACTCTTAAAGCAATTTTAATGATTGCCATCTAGTGATTTTTTGCAGTTAACAGTTTAACCAATTACTAATTGTTTGCTGTTAGACTTTGTTTCAAAAAATCAATTATCAATAGATGGCGACTGAGAAAACAAATGCTTTTATACAAAAATGGTCAATAATATTTCAAGTGTAGATTTTGATCAACACTTTTGCATTGTTGATTTGCAAAGTTGAAACTTGCAAATTATTGCAAATTTTTGTCAAAAATGTCATTTTCTGTAAGTTATGTTTATGAGCAAACTGTATTGATTGATTTTTATTTTGATTCACAATGGAAAGATCAGTTTGTATCTTGCTCCAAACAGTTGGCAAAAGCTTTAGACTGGATAAAAAATTGATGCTAATGTTATTTTTTTTAATTGACAGATTTAAAGACTGGAAACTGCAACACCAGTGCCAATGAGACCAACTCTTGTCAATCATCAACTCCTCGAGTCAACCTTAATCTAGATTTGTGCAATTCATCAATTGACTCACCTTCTCCATCCGCAACCTCAGCCCTAAAATTTGGCCTCGGACCCAGAAAAAAGCCTTTACTCACCTTTACAGGACAACCTTTACCTGTAGTTTCCGAAGACATTGATACTTCCTTGATTCTGGAGAAACAAGGGTAAGTTTACTTGAAAAGTAAATCAACTCAGTTTACTGTTTAAGTTACATGATAATCATGAAGGCAGATGAAAACATCGCCTTAAATGAATACAAATGAAAGACCAGAAAAGCCAGTGTTAAGAAGAAACAAGATAAACTTAAACAATAAACAGAAGAAGAAAAATGCTGATCTTGCAACTAATAGTCATTCTTTTGTCTCTTAATTAATAGCTGGTATCATGGATCAATCACTCGACTTGATGCTGAAAATTTGCTTCGAAATATGAAGGAAGGCAGTTATTTGATTCGAAACTGTGAAAGTACCAAACAAGATTACTCTTTATCACTCAAGTAAGTCGCCCTATTTCCTCATTTCCTTGAATAACTTAGGATGAAGAAGAGAAGAATTCTGTTAATAAGAGAAAGAAAAATAAATTTCCAGAGTTTCTTCAATTCTCATCATGAACCTATTCCAATAATAGAGTCTAACTAATTGGCTATCCATCTTTATCTCAACAGAAGTATCAAGGGATTTATGCATATGAAAATAGTTAAACAATCTGATGGTAAATTTGTTCTTGGCGTATTCAGTAAACCATTCTCAAGTATTCCAGAAATGGTGAAACACTATTCCATCAATAAACTTCCCATTCGAGGAGCTGAACACATGTCCCTGTTATATCCAGTTATTGATCAATTGCTGTGAAAAATAATACTCTGGATTTGTTTACATTTTTCACGGCGAAAAAGAGGAAAACAATAATTCTCAGAGTTTCCATCAAGGAATGGCAATGGAAGACAAATGTCTTCTTCTTTTTCCATGTTCATCTCACACTTTTTTTACATTTATATGGAAGCTGAAGGAAACAATATTAATGAAGAAACATCATAAAGTTAATCAACTCTGCCATTTTACTTTTTACATTTCTTCAAAAAATGTATAAAATTGTACAGAAAAGGGCAAAATTGATTGATAACTGACTTTGTTTAAACCCTTTTCCTTAATCCACTTTTTGTAGTTAGTCAATTGCCAATCTCTATGCCAATTGATTTTAATCATTTGTAAAGATGCTGAGATCAAGAAGACGCTCTTAGCCAAAGCTCATCTCTTTCGATCTCAAGTCTTCCATTTCTTTCTATCTATCTTTATCTTCATCAAAGTCTCATTTTTCATCGGCTCATAAAGCTATCAAACCAAAGAAATTTAAATTTACGAAAAGAAATCATCAAAAATTTCTTTTCTTTTCTCATCACAACTGATCATAAAATCGGAACTTATCTTCTCTGGTTATGCCAGAAAAAACTAAACTGTTATCAACAATGGAAACCATTTGGATCATCAATTCAACAGTTCAAAAAGAATGGTCGATTCGTCTTCAAAAGCCCTGGAATCGCAAAGTGTTCATTGGAATTACATCCAAAAAGTCGACTTTCCTTTTGATCTTAATATTCAAGAAACGAGAATGATTTGGTTTCCTTCAAAATGATCTACAATGTTAATTGTACATTTCGATATTTAATTGCACTTCACTGTTCATTAATTTGGCCAATTTTTCTTCTTTAATCAGCTAATTGTTCTTGTTGTTTGTTTTTCTTTTAATCTTTAAATTCTTGTTCCTATTTTCAACTGATCCATAAATTTATGTTCATTTTTTATCCTTTCCTTGCTTTCCCTTTGTAATAGCTTGATTTAAGATGTCTACTTCATGTAAAACTGAAACTATTCAACAATTTTCTTCTATTTCATGTAAAACAATTTTGCAATCTCTTCAAATTAATGTAAATTGTTTGACTATTCATTTAATTGTAAAGTAGTTTATGTGCCTTAAACAACAAATAATATGTTTAACTCTTACTTTAAACTTGACCATTCAAATGACCTATCAATACTATATCTTAAGTGTACAGCAGTGAATCAAATCATTTCATGACCTCAACCTTCAATAAATTACCAGTCATGTTTAAAATAATGAACCTTTTCCACTTATTTCAATCAACAATCAAATTGACATTAGACAAAAGACCAAAAAACTACAAAAATGAAAAAAATGTAGCATGAGCTTCGATAATTTGGCTGAAAATCACTTTCTTTTTCTCAGACTTTCATTTTATAAAATATAATGAATGGTGAATCTTGATTGGCAAAATTAACTTCAAAAGTTTATTCAAAAATTGTCGTTCTACTGATTTAGATATTCATAAAAAGCACGATTTTCAATTCAAGCCTTTCATTACGATTAAATCCAGACAAACATATAATTATGAGTTTGACTATTTAATTGGACAAGAATTCAATTGTTTGATTGCAAAAACTTGATCCAATTTGAAAGGTTAGATGTTTTTATTGAATAAGTCTCGAATGGATAGACTGTCACTTCGATCCCTTCAAAATGTCAACTGTTTAAACCACCAACAACGCAAAGTTCAGTGAAATTAGCAATAAGCTGATTGAATTAAATCCTTAATGAACTGACTATAATCAAATTGAATGCTAAAAATAATTGTCATAAATCTCTTTAAGTTGAGAAGTTAAAAAAGATTATATTTCCATTAATAACCAGGAAAAAGTGAGAGAAACACTTGGAATGAATCGAAGGGGGAAATTTGTCTAATCTGAAAAGATTTTCTAGCTCAGGTAAATGCAGAAATATCTTTTTTTGTTGCCATCGACTTGGAATATGAATGGAACTCACCTGGATAATCCTTTTCGTCTATTTACTCGAAATGAATCCTTAAGAGGATAAATCGTTAATCCATTGCTTTACTTTGACTCTCCACTTTCAAAACTGTCCAAAATATTGGTTTCAAACAACTACTTTGACTGAGATTTTTGGTTTATTGGTCATGAAAAAACTTCATTGAGAAACTGCAAGTCAGTCCAGATTCAAGTTCACAATCAAACCTTAAAAACCAGAAATGAGTTTACAAAATATGTTTTGAATAATTCATAGTTATGAACAGTTTATTGTGTTTACGAAATTTTGATTGAATCTTCATCAGAAATATTAAAAGATGGTCATCGACAAGGCTGATGAAAAAAATGGTTGACCAAAAACATTGATCATCTTTTGTACTTCAATTTTCAATGTAAAACAAAATGAATGTTTCTTGGCAAAACCTTTACATTTGGTTTAATGAACACTAGCTAATCAACTGCGAAACTTGTTAGCTTTAGATAATTTTATTGATCTATTTAATTGTGATCGTTTATTTTAATAAGTTACAATAGCGAGTCAATTCAATAAGATAAATTGCTATTTAAAAGCAGAACGATAAACTGAAATAATAACACGTATAACATGTATAAAAATTGAAACTTGCTCATTAGATCAGCTCTGATTATTGGAAATCAGTCAGTAAATTCATTGACACGTTTCTGAGCTGGAAGTTGTCTTCGTAAACTTGAAAATGCTGTATATAAGACAAAATAGTTTAGATGTAATATTATATTCAGAACTGAAACTAAAATAAATTTACGATACAATCAATTTTTAAATTCAATTTCCAGTCAATATCCCATCATAATGTAATATTCAATAGAAAACCAAAGCTCCAGATGATCCTCACTTCTTTTTCATCTTGTTACAGGATTGGGATGAGGATATTGGGCAGGAAATTCAAGGAACAAAAATTAATGTCACATAAAATTGGTTGATATTAATTTATTCAAACTGAATTAAAAACAACAACAAAAGCTCAATCAATGTCAATTAAGCAGCGCCATCTCACGTTAACATTGATAAAATGTATATTGGATCCAATCTTTATCACTTAAAAAAAGCGGTGTGTAAATCATAGATGGCTGTACGTGCGAAAACATTGAAACACATTGAAACATTTGTTGAAGAAAATCTTTTGGGGGAAAAACTAAGCACAGTAAAAACTGTTCCCCGTTCAAATATGAGGGCTTTGCTGATTTGGATCTGGTACAGTCTTGGACTCGAGTTGATTTGAAGAGTTAAAGAGTTGAGGTGACTGTATTTAAAGTTACGTTTCGTTTGTCAAGTCAACAATTTGTCAGTGTGCATTTAGCCCATTACCATTAAGCCTCAACGTTTAATTATTTTAGTTATTCATTGAATATCCTGTGCACCCCTTTACTTGGTGAGTTAAATTTTAATGTGATTGTTAGTTGACTTTGTAAGGTGTCAAAACAAAATTGGATTTTATTATTGTATATCATCAATTGTTGATAGTGTTTTCATTTTGTATCTTTCTTTCCATTGACAGTCCATAATGGCTCCTCGAATTCCTGAGGGAACTAACAATGAACGGATTGAATCTATCGAACCAGAACTTAAGGATAAAAATACCGTCGAATATAAAGTACAAATTGTTTGGCGGAACGTAGTTCTGTTTATTGCGTTGCATATCGCTGCGCTTTATGGACTTAAATTGATTTTTACAGCCGCTGCTTGGCAGACAACTTTTTTTGGTAAGTAGCAACACTTTTTGAAATTATAGTCCCCAATGTTGATTTTAAATGGAAAAGGAAATTTAAATTTGTAAATTATATACATCTTCAGACGTCATTTCTTTATTCATTTCAAGTTGTCACAATACTAATTCTGCCCACAATCAATTTTAGCTTTACTTTTGAATTCCCCTTTATATTAATACTAGATTATTATTTTTATTTCCAACAGCTTTCCTGCTTTATATTTGTGGTGGACTTGGTATTACTGCTGGAGCACATAGATTATGGTCTCATCGATCTTACAAGGCCAAATGGCCCTTGAGAGTTATTCTTTCCATCTTTAATTCTCTTGCTTTCCAAGTGAGTCATTTATCTTGGACCCTTTCATTTCGAATTACCCATGAATTTTTCCCTTCAGATTGTCAATTATACTTATTCAATGTTAGATTTCTCCCACTAAAATAATCTGTCATACTATTTATACGTTGGTATAAAACTGCAGATTAAATTATGTGTACTCATCTTTCTATGAATATTTTTAAATCTATTGTTGAAAGGTATGATTATTTCAATCCTATTATTGTTATTGATTGATTCCATTTTAATTCAGCTCATTTAGTTAAATCATTCTGTTTACCCCATCAACAATATGTAGTTTTAGCAACCTAACACATGTGATGGTCTCATGTTGTCTCATGTTTTCAGTAATCGTTTTGTTTGTATCCCCTCTTCAATTTTTGAACGTTCAGCGTAAAATCTTTTCCATTATCTATCATCATCTCTATCAGTTGTAGATCATAATCATGTTAAATTATTTTCACGATTAGTCTTACATCCTCTTGACATCTTTTGAAGGACATCGTTATTATAAATGATGTTATAATTACCTTATATCGATCTGGACAAAACCTTTTATGGCTTCATTGATTGTCAGCTTACAATTATAATTCGAATATTTTTACAGTTTCTTTGCTGGCTAATCTCCAGGTTACAATAGATTATTAATTAATATTTTTCCTATCGAGAAAATTGAATTATTTTCAAATTTTCTCCTCAAACCTTCACACATTCACCTAAATGAAAAGCAAATTATTGGCTATACATGTATAGAGTGTACTTGTGACGTCAGGAATGAATTACATCGTCCAAAGAAACAATCACAGAATAATTTAGCATTGAGATGGGGTGAAAAACAATTAATAACATCAGCAATTGACAAGATGAAATTTATGCTACATGATAGATTTGCTAGATTCGTTTACTTCTGCTAGTCATGCCACCAAGAGTTACATTGTTGACAACATGCAAGCTTTATTAACATGACGAAATTAATTATTAATTCTTATCTTTTTATTTCTCTTTCAGAATCATATTTATGAATGGAGTCGAGATCATCGTGTACATCACACCTATTCCGAAACTGACGCTGATCCTCACAACGCAACGCGTGGCTTTTTCTTTGCCCATATGGGCTGGCTTCTTTGTCGAAAGCACCCAGAAGTGATCAGAAAAGGAGCTAATATTGATTGCAGCGATATTTTGGCCGATCCTATTGTCAGATTTCAAAAGAAGTAAGCATTAACCGGAGATTAACCAGATTTTATACCTTCAGTCTAGGACAGTTGATTTGAGTAAATAAGCTGAAACTGTTGCCTCGCTTCTCTTCAAGACTCTGGTTAGAAATATGAAATCTGATTCAAACACATTATAAGTGATTACATCCGTATAAAATTCCGCTTCAATTATTTTCAAGGTTAATTTCAATTGTATTCATATTGCGTTTATTTTTCTTTTTCCGTAGAAACTATTTGAAACTTGTCTTCATATTCTGTTTCTTATTACCTACCATAATCCCACGTATTTTCTGGGGTGAATCTTTGTGGAATGCATACTTCATATGTGCGGCTTTCCGTTACTGTTTTCTTCTTCATGTCACTTGGTTAATTAACAGTGCTGCTCATTTGTGGGGCCAACATCCTTACGACAAACACATTAACCCAGCCGAAAACTTATCCGTATGTCTTACTGCAATTGGTGAAGGTTTCCATAATTATCACCATACTTTCCCATACGATTACTCAGCCAGTGAACTCGGAACTCGTTATAATTTGACTACTGTATTTATTGACGCTATGGCAAGCATTGGATGGGCATACGATCGTAAAAGAGTATCTCCAAGCGTTCTTAAGCAAAGAATCGAAAGAACTGGCGATGGTTCGCATTTCAGTCTCCATGAGGCTTCTAAAAAGTCACTTTAGTGATAGAAAAATTTATTATTTAGAAAAGATTTTGCAATAAAAGTTTCAACTTAAAAAGAAAAAAAAAATTTCAAGAATGTGTGCAATTTTTGCCTAAAAAAAGACTCAACATCGATTGTAAGAATTACAATTGTATTGCTCGTAAACTCGTTGATTAAACATTGCATCAAAATTACCAATTGCGTATCATTTTATTTCAAGTAAAACAAATCCATAAATTACTCATGGAACCTCAAATTTAATACAAAGACATCAACGAATCATGAATTTGGTTGGTTGTTGGTTTTAAAAATTGTCGAGCAATTGTTTTCTGTTGAACATATTCCTCTCTCTTGATTGTGCATCTAAATGGCTGTTTATAGACACGTGAAAAGTCAATGGAAACCATTTGTTTTACACGATTAACGATCATGTTGTGGAAAATTCGAAGAGCATAAGCAAGAATAGCATTAATCCAAACTTAATCAAGAAGTTCTTCAATCTAGTTATCTGCAATCAGTTCGTTACAAGATCAAATAACATCTCACCTTCAATCACTCGTTCAACTTATTTTTGTGATCACTAATCATCATTTCATCGGATGATTGCTGCACAAAGCATCGTGTGGTTGGATGTGAAAGTTGATAAAGCAGCTCATTAAATGATTTCATAGATAAATGATTCATGGAAGTAAAATTCCGATAATCGAATCATAAAAGTTAAGAAAAAACGAACCATATATTCATAACCAGTAAACAAAAGCTGATTTCAAGCGATTCACCTTCAGTTTCAGGTCATCAAGATTTCTTGCAAAATATCAATTTTACAAAATTGGACGATGGTTTCAATGAAACAAATTAAACAATGTTTTCGAGTTGCGAGTAGATAAATCCATAAGTCTAAATGACAATGATTAAGTGACATATGTTCACAAGTCAGTTAAATGACACCACTGTCATGAACGTAATTTACTGGACAATTGATACTGGGGATTCCAATGCAATATTTATTTAAATCAATTTTATTTTCCTTATTCTTTGGCCTTCATTCTGAATTTTGACAGCAAACACAATAGATACAAATATTTTTCAGTAAAAATGTGAAGCTTCAAATTATGATTATTATTATATATTCATGCTGAATATAATACAAATAATGTAATTAGTCGAAAATTGTTAGTTCTTTGGTTTATTTTGTTGAAGCAGTCAACAAATTAAGACAGACTAAGACTGAGTTAATCAGATGAGTAACATCAACTCTAATTTCATTATACAAATGTTGTGCTATTGTAACATGAAAAATTATGCACTGGATCAGGTTTATCAAGTTCATTCAGTGTGTTTTGATACTCAAGCTGATATCAGACTTTTATATATTCCAACTTATTCTCAATGTTTGATGATACTTTGGTGCTCATTTGAAACTTGGATTCAACTTTCTCTCATCCAGAGAAGGAAATTTAATTTAATATGAATCTATCAGAATTAAACGGAACGGAAGATGAATTCAAAAGTTGTAAGACAACAAAAAAATGAAATGGTAAATGAACTTAAAGAAACTCTTTTCTCTCAAGGGTTAACTTTTCACATTTGCCGGTCAATTACACCGCAATAACTAGCAATTACTATCTGTCTTGGAGCAAGAAAACTGAAAGAAATGAAAAGGGTGAAACAGTCTTTAAGCAGTGACACTCGATTCAGACATTTCAGGCATGAAACTCAATGTATAAGCTAGGATTGGCTTTCATTTGAATATTTTCAGACTGGAAATTGCGTATAACAAGCTGATAACGCTTTTAAAGCCAATAAAAATTGTCACTAATGACGAATTGACTATTGTCGAATGAAAATAGCTTTAATAAGCTATTCGACAGAATTGTATTATATAAATAGCAACATTTTTTGCATCGGCATTAATAAAGATCTTTGAATAACGTAGTTTGTATCAAAAATCATAACTTTCACATCTTTACAATAATTGTTCTCGTTTTTAACTTTTAACCATAAATTTGAATTTGTTTTCATATATCGTGTTAATTTCAAGAGTCTATCTCGATTCTAACTATTAAAGTAAGCTATTTTCATACAGCAAACAAGATGAGTTCTAAAAAGACGAGTCTTAAAGAATTGTTAGAACTCAATGAGAAAATGAATTTGGGAAAACTATGTGAATGTACCTGTGAATCTCGTCCGGGTAAGAAGGCCTTAAACTTAACCAAAATGAAATAAGTCTAATTTTTGTGAGTTTATCTCTTCTCAGGCAATACGAAATTTGGACTTGTTAATTGAAAAGGGCGAAGCCAAAAGTCCTGGATGGAAAGATAAAAACTATAAACAACTGCTTGGCTATCTAGACATTGTGCAGGAGATATATGGAAAGCCTTCGTGTCTTGAAGATGAAAGTGATTCAACTTCTTCGAGTAGCAAGAAACTACGCGAATAGGTCGTTCACGATTTTTAAAGAGCTATTTTCATACTAACACTTTCTACATTTTTCTTTGTAATAAGCTAATCACTCTTTTAAGCCAATAAACATTTCTGATTCAGCATATCCGTTTAATGTTTTAATTTTGTTAGATACTATATTACGTGATTCCGAATTTATTGATCGTACCAACAATTGGCAAATCAGATTAACAACCATCGATGTTATTCCTTTTTCATTTTGATTAGCAGAAGATTTAATTTCGATTGAAAAGAAACTCTGAAAGTAGGTGCTCAAGTGAAGCTGAAAAGAGATTTGCGTCAAGACTAATTAAGCTATTGTGAGAAAGATAGCTTCTCTTTAAAGATATAAAGTCCTGAAATTCAGTCAATATGAGCAGATTCAAGAAAAATGAAATAAAATACAGAACTTTTAATTTGAAAGACCTTGACCAATAGGTGACGTTACGATCGGTCTCTTTTTTTACGCGTGGAGCAACAACTGTAAGTCAACTGTAAGTCAACTGCAGTAAACACGTCTGGTAGACATGTCTATTGGATGTCTACTATGTTTATGTTTCATGTTGTTTATTGGCATCAAATGTTTTTAAATTTTTATTTTGCTTATTGTATTTCCATATTTGATTATTTTGAAGGTTGTGTCAATGATATTCTCTTCCTTGAAAATTCCAAAGAACTTCATTAGACAGTATTACATTTTAAGGTAAGTTTCACTGCAAAACAGGTAGTCCAACCTGATAACAAAAATATATTCTAACAGTTAGTAAAATTGTTGATCTTTTTCTTTAGATATGTCTTCTAATCCTGTTAAAGTAGATCCTGAACGTCAAAGTGAAGTTGCTAATCTACGAAAAGCCCTTGCTTCTTTAAGGTATAGGTGCCTTGAGGCTCAGAAAATAGTTGATGATATACGAAATATAAACAAGAAACTTAAACATGATATGGCAATGAGTGATGCTCGTATAAAACAAGAGGATGCTGAGTTGGAAGCTTACCTTTTGCGTAATCGCAATAAATTTAAGAAAATGAGAAACGAAAATAAATGCTCAGGCCAAATCTTGAACGATGTAAGGGTTAAAAACCTAAAAAGCCTAAAGTCAAAGTCGAAAAAAACAGCTGTTGCTATTCCATCGTCTTTAATGTTCTTCAATTATAACCAGCAACTTGGTCCTCCCTTCAGGATAATTTGTGATACAAATTTTATAAAATTTTCTATTAAAAACAAATTAGATATGGTTCCCGCCATGATGGACTGTCTCTTGGCGAAGTGTATTCTTTATGTTACGGAATGCATTATTGATGAATTACAAAATTTAGGTGCTAAATATCGTGTTGCCCTCAAAATCATTAAATCAAGTTTTGAGGTATTACCCTGTGCACATAAAGTAACATATGCAGATGACTGTATTTTTAATAGAGTAAGTTGTCATAAATGTTATATCGTTGGAACCTGTGATAGAGCTCTCCAGAAAAGGATAAGAAAATTGACAGGAGTTCCTATCATGTATATAAAAAATAGGAAATATGCCATTGAATGAATGCTTGATGCTCCAGGAATCGAACCTGTCTAAACTACAAGCTTTAATTTTTTTATCACGAACTTCATTTAGATTGAATGAATTTTGATTAACAGCTCAGAGAATTTAATCTGGAAAGATACACTGAAAGTAGGTAATCGAGTGTGAATGAAAAGAGTAAAGGCTATAAATTGCGATAAATAGCATATCTTTTGCGACAGAATGTCCTGAGATTAAGTCATATAATTGAGGCAGGAAATTAAAACGAGATACAAAATTTTTAATTAGTTAGCAAGCATATAACATTAAATGTTTAATCGAGCATTTGACAATCAATCAATCAGCTGTTACGGCCGCTGCTGCTGTATTTTTTTCTGCTTGACGCCTTTTAACATCCCAGTTGTAAATTCTTGCCATATTCACTTCTGTTGTAGTTATTTGGTCTCGCAAAAAAATCAAATCTTTATCTAGTTGTTCCAAATTTTTCAACGCTGTTTGCAGATTTTTACTTAATAAATCTTCAGCTTCACTAATTGGATATTCAAGCATCACATTGGCCTTTAAAGTGACATATTAAAAATAAAACATAGAATTAGTCAAATTCAAGAATATCTCATGAAATCTAATTAAATTGCATTGAAATGTTTGACTGATCAATAAATTGAAACTTACCCCAAGCCATAAGCAAATTCGATCTGTTGGTTTAACCAAAGCTTCCATCAATACTTGATCAGAAACAGGGAAATTAGTTTTCATATCTTCTTCATTTTTCTTTTTTAATTTCATTAAACTGATAATATTGAGAGTTTCTTTGATATCAGGAATTTGTTTCTTGTATTTTTTCTTTTTCTGCACCAAATTCATTTCCATAAATCGATACTTATTGTGATCTTCATCCAATTTCCTGATTAATTTAGTGGCATCTTTATCCTGGAGTTCCATATACTTTCCAACATCCTCCTAAAAATAACAAATATCATAGATTAACAAACCATTGCAGATAAATACCATATTAAGTCGTTCTTTACTTACCACAAATTCTGCTTTAGGGATTCCCAAGCTATTTTCAGTGTTTTCTGTTACTTCTGCCATGATAATTTTCAAATGAACTAGTCACAATTTGTAATCAATTTACAGAAAGGGTATTTATAATTGTCTTACTCAGGTCTGAGAAAATGTGATTTGATGTTTGCAATAGTGAAACATGCCCTTACATAGGGACTGTATGTTAAACAAATTAAATTCTTTTTATAGATATCTGTGACAGTCCGGCTGGCTTGGACTGTTGACTTTTAAAGCTTTTTCTCTGTCAGTACTTCAGTTTTCAAATTGTTCAATATTTATATAAATGTGAATGTGCTTCTCCGTCTAATTTAAATGGATTCATCTATTGGAGATATTGATTCAGATCCAAACTGGGTTGACTATCTTAACCCTACTCAACGGCAAGTCTTGGAGGATCTTAAGAAACAACAGCAAGAATTTGATGTCCATTATGATGAATGGCAAAAAGAGCTACAAACCTGGCGTGCTGCTAATGCTAACCACAGTGACCCAAAATCTTACCAAGATTATGCTCGTCGGTGGGAAGAGTGGAAGAATAAGCTTTTATCGCAAAAAAACCAAATGGAAAGACTCTACAAGCAAACGTTGATTCAACTCAAGACACAGGCCGCTAAACAGAAAGAACAAATGAATATGAATATGAATCAACATAGACCTATGATACGACAGCAATTTACACCAACATCCAATTCACAACCCAACTTTCAATCTCACCCTCCGATGTATAGCCAACAGCCATATTTTAATCAGCAGATAGCAATGAATTCTCCTTATTTTCCCCAACAAAGACCATTTGGGGCAATACCTTATCAACAGCCAAGATATAACCAAAGTAAGTTGATGTTTATGTGAATTTTATTACAATTACAATCTAAACAAAATCTTATTTACGTTTTCATTTTACTTTTTCCATCTTGACAGTTCCCCAAAATCCTATGTCTCTACCCCCACATCTTTATCCGGGTCCGATGCCTGGAATAATGATGCCTCCAATTGTTCAAGCTCAAGCAAATGCGCCTGTATCTGTTTTTCCTCCGCTCTCTCAGCAAAGCCCTGCTCAAGCACTTCCACTAGCAGGTCAGCCAAATATTAGTCCATGGGGAGTTGCCGCCTCTCTACCGGCTACTGTTGTTTATCCACACTTGTTAACAGCTCCTCCTCCCCCTCCTCCTCCACCACCGCCGCCGCCACCACCTCCACCGAAATCACCGCCAGCGCCACCTCCTCCTCCGACCACTTCAAGTAGCTCTTCTAAATCATCAGATCCTGAAGATTCTAATAAATCTAAAACTGGAACAAAAGCCTCTGGCACAAGTCGTATAGATGATATAGTAAAGCGTGCTAGTCAGCTAATTCCTGGTCTTGGACAGTATTTAGATGAAGATTCATCAGATGAAACGTTAGAATCCAAAAAAATCACTGTTGATCTTACTGGAGACGAAGAATCTACTCATTCAAGGGAAGTCAGGGATAAACAAAATCAATCATCAAACAAGAGTGCAAGTTCGATCAGGAACAATGAAAACAATAATTCGAAGCAAGATTCGATGGCTAAAAATAATAATTCTAATAGTGTGATATCTAGTGAAAAAACAAGTAAAACTACCAATGATACAAGGCACTCAAATAAAAGTTCACTAGAATATGCTTCAAGAGAACGATCGAATCAGAGAAACGATGCATTACTGAAGGATGTTCGTTCAAATCTGATGAGTGATAGTGATTCGGAGGAGGATGTCCACATTGAACATATAACAGATGACAAACAAAATAAACCTTTTGACTTGGCTGGTGTAATTAATCAAATGAAATCAATAAAACCAGCAAATAACAATAACCAAACTTCGCATTCTTCAGATCATGATGACCGTAATCAAGGCCAAGCCTTACACCAAACTCAGCAGTCTTCGCACAACCAACAACCCAATCCATTCCAATTTCGTGGAAGGATCAGTACAGAGGGACTCACTACAATTATTGAGCCGGTTGATGATAAACCTAAGCAACAAACATCTCCAGAAGCTAACCAAAGGTACGAATTTAATTATAATTAAGAGAAAAATTTGTATCTAATATTTTTTTCTAAAATTGAATTAGGCATGATCCTAATAGACGTCGCTCAGACGGATTTCATCATATGGAAGGCTCAAATATCTCTCGACCAAGACAACCCTATGTAGCAAAAACAATTGATTATGATCACGGTTCTCCATCTATTGGACCTTCGCTACCTCCTCCTCGAGGTCCTGATTCTCCTCGAGGTATAAATAGAGCTCCTCTGCGATCTGCGATACCAAGAGGCCCTCCTCCTCGTTTTGGGCCACGACCTTTTATTAACAATAGAGGACCACCTCCCCAAATACCTCCTTTCAATCGCGTTCCTCTCACACCTCCTAATGCTCCTCATCAAGGTCCCGTTTTTGGACCTCATCCTCCACCTAGACCAACTTTTGGAGCTCGTCCTTATTTCAATGAGAGACCTAGATTTGGCCCATCTTTCCCAGCTGGACCATCACAAGGAATACCCAGAGGTCCTGCCTTGCCTCCAAGACCTAATTTCAACCAAATGCCACCATCTTCAAATTCTTCATCTCAACCACCTCATCAAAGATCTGAAATACCTGTTAAGCAATTGACTTACAAAGATGAAGAATATTTCACTGCTCCGCCATCGCGAATGGTGTCATTAGAAGAATTATTAGTCCCTCCTACTCGTGATTTTAGACCAAAGAGTATCGTAATCATTCTGAGGGGTCTCCCTGGCTCGGGTAAGACTCATCTCGCTAAATTGATCAGAGACAAGGAAACTGAAAATGGAGGTTCCGCTCCTAGGATATTATCAATTGATGATTATTTCATGGTCGAGAAAGAAGTAATGGTTACTGATGAAAACGGTAAAAAAGTTAAATCAAAGGAATTTGTATACGAATATGAGGAAGCAATGGAAGTTAGTTATCGGGCAAGTTTGCTGAAAGCTTTCAAGAAAACAACAGATGCTCCATATTTCAAATTTATTATTGTTGATGCTGTGAATAGCTGGGTATCTCATTTTCATGAATTTCATGCGCATGCAGCCTCAAAAGGATTTACCGTCTATATTTGTGAAATCGATTGTAAAGATCCAGAATTTTGCTCTAAAAGAAATGTTCACAATCGCACATTAGAAGAGATTAGAAAATTGGCCAGAATTTGGGAGAAAACTCCAAGAGATTTCATCCAACTCGATACAACTACTTTCATGCAAAACATTTTGACAGAAGAAGTAAGTTAACTTATATTTTATTTATAATTTTCTCGAATATGCCTTACAATACTTTACTTCATTCTATTCTTACTATTCTTCAGGCTGATAATAATTCATCGGAATCTAATTCAAAAGATAAACGAAGACTTGAAGAAACCGAAGAAGATGATATTATCTCAAAAAAACTTGCTTCTGGAGTTAATCCGAGTCGCGATGAAGTCGAATCTAAAGCTGAGGTAATGAGCGTAATTTGATATGCATAATTATTTATAAATTTCGATTATCTTATTTGCTGTACGAGTTTAAATGTTCTCTCACATGCAAACACGCTTTATAACAAATTTTTGTCAATAAGATTTAGAAAACTATTCAAAAATAAGTTTTATTTAATCAAATATTTCAAATTGACTATCAATTATCAAAAACTGTCTATTTCCATTGCCTCTCTCTTATGCAAAAAAATGAATAATCAAATTCTTGTAAAAACAATCAAAATCCAGCTCAGCAAAAGTCGATGGGAGAAGATGGAGGAATCTTCTGAAATTGATCATGGTAAGTCAGTTAATTTAATTATTTTACCAAATGGTTTTTTTACTAATAATATTTTCTATTTTTCTAGACCGGTTGGATGGTTTCAAAGTAAAACGCAAGATCACTATGGATGAATATCTGCAATTACCTGATGATTATGATCAGCGTGGGGCTCAGCCCAACAGAAAAAGGGTATGCAGTGTTTTGTTTCGCGAATTTATCCATCAAATCAATATATTAGAGATTAATGTAAACAAATTAACTGTTCGGAATTTTCTTCTTCATTCTCATCAGGTTCGATGGGCTGATGTTGAAGAAAGGAAAAATCAACAAAAAATGAGAAACTTAGGTTTTATTGTGGGTCAAAATTGGGAACAAGTATTGGATCCTTCCAATCCTGAAAAAGCTCTCAACAGAACAAAATACATATGATGTAGCTGGGCAAATATTGAGCAATTTTCATCACTCACCATTCAATCACCATCATTATAAACCAAAGACTCTCAATAATTCTATGAAATGTGAATCTTGACCGATTGAACACTCTTGACAGTATAACTCATTTTCTTCATCTGCATCGATAAGAAGATATGCATTTAGACGGTAATTTTTTATCCATATTATCGTCTTTCGATTAATTGAGATGAATAATTTCCTGGAGACATAATTGATTAACCTGAAATGTCTTCATATAATCTCACTTCCCTGATTATTCGTTGTCGAAGGACAACGAATTTGAAGCTATTCTTTACTCTCTAATCAACTCTTTACTCTATCAACTTCCATTCTATGCCTATTATTAGAATCATCTCATCTATTATATTTCTGATAATAATTTACATTTTTCGGTTTTGAAATTTTTTCATACATCTGTAATTCCAATTCTGCCGCATTTATTCATTGCAGAGCAGTTAATACAGATACTGGATTAGTTCAGAGACATTTAAATTAATCGCAGGGTATACAATATACTTCATCAATCTTTTTTGTAATGTAATTTCATATTTATTAGTTTTCGTGTTAGAACTAATTATTTAATTTCTTTCATGTTTAAATTAAATGTATGTTGAGGCTTCCTCTTTTAGCAGCCAATTGATTAATTTGCAGAGATTTGTTTTTCATCATTCATACAATCTTTTGCATTCCACTTTTGTCCCGTTTTTATGATTTTCTTATCATTCAACTAATCGTATTTATGAATGCGCCTATCCTCAAAGACGCTTTTAAAGCTTTTGATAAAAGCTAATATCAATCTGCTTTTCTATTTACAATTTTCAAGAAAAATCTTCCACCGAAATGCTAAATTATGCGAAAAATTTCTCTCGAGGAACAATTCAAAAATTTGAAGATATCTTTGATTTACGAGACAAATCAACGTGAACTTTTCTCATTGTGAATTTTATAATGAATATCATTGTCTTGGTGGATATTTTGTATGAAACCAATATCAAATTGAAAAATTGCTCGGATTTTGACTGATGATCATCACGAAATATTAACCTTTTCACAATCATGTCAAATGAGCTTGGAACATTTAATTCAGTGAAACAGGGTGAATCTTATACAGATTTTCACCATTCTCAATAAATTATCACAGTGTCTCTATTGAAATGCCTAAACAAACAGCTTCTTCAAAAGAAGCTTTCATAAACCTTGTAAAATAAAGATCCTTTATTGAAAAGATATTGATTTAATTGAAATCTTGATGTTTGGGAATCGCTTTTATGGGTATAGATTTGATTGAAATTTTTCTTTGAGTGAATGAGTTCTTTAATCAAACCATTTAGTAATGTTATCATGGAAATGATTATTTTATTGATTGTGGTTAAGGGTGGGCTTTGTTTACTATCACTTAAGTTTTATTAAATACAATTCAATTTTTCTATTAGTAAAGTTACAATACTTTTTAATCAGATATTTTTTTGATCTAACGCTTGAGGACTCATTTGTATTAATGTACATTAATGCGTTTTTCGTCACACAATTGGCACTTATTTTTATAATTGATCTATAGTTATTGGTACTTAAATGGCCACTCTTAAATTTGCTTAGCGTATGTCTTTTAGTGTTGGATATTGAGGATATTAGATGTGATCAAAGCTTCTCAGCCTGAGTAAGATGATGATTCGTTGATGATTATTTAATGGCTTCGGATTGTCATCTGATTTGGGATAAAGGCTTCACTTACTGATAATAAATTCAAATCAAATGAGAAAAGCTATATAGAATAAAAAATACACTGAATTCAAACGCATATGCTATTAATACTTTGGGAAAGGAATGTACAAGGAAATTTTATCTTGAAATGATATTTACTGTCACAAAATAACAAAGATCTACAAGTTTGGCCACCAAGCAACCTGAAGTTTTAACATCAAGTGTAAATAAAATTAAATCTTTGATTGAGAACCCAACGATCATAACAGTTTAAAACATAAACTAACAAATAAAATTGAGGAACACTTTTCACTTAGCAGCATCATTCTCTTGATCTGCAATAATGTTGACACTTTTTGAATCTTTTTCTTGTGATGAATATTGATGATTTACAGCCCTATAGCATTGATAACCCGATGTAAGAGCTACCCAAACATTAACTCCAAATAGACTCCAATTTTTGGGTGTAATAACAAGTGAATATCTTGACCATATTACTCCGGTAGCAGTCAATGAAGCAGATTGAGCAAGACTTATTTTTTCAGCTGGACGACTGAGATCAGCTAATCCAGCTATAACAAGACCCTGTTGAAAGAAAATTGCAAATTAATATGAATACTATGACGATTTATAATTTAAAGATAACCTTGGGTTGGATTAGCAATTAGATGAAGAGAATTACTAGAATACAGAATAATCAGAATGAAGGAAATTGCAATACAAACCCATTTAAATGCCGGAGCCCAGAAAAATACAGTCTTTGGACCAGCAGGATGATTCCACATAGGCTGCAAACTTTGTGGAACCAATTTATCACCAATTCTGGTGATTGATCGATAAATTGCAGTCATTTTATTACAATACTTTTCCTAACAATTCTTACTTATAGTCTTACTCAAAGACACTGTTCAGACTGTTTAAAGGTTAGCCTTTGAAGTTTAAATAGGGTTACCTAGTAACCACTTTTCAGCGCGGAGCGTAAATTTATGTCAGTCTATCAAATTCAATGAAATTAATACAATATTGAGGTTAATTTTAATTAATTAATTTATTTCAAATCATATGTATTCGCATACGTTCATGTTTGTATTTCAAATATACATAAGGTTATTACAAAAAATTCAAGCTGATAGTTCAAGTTCAAACAGGTTCAATTCCTGGAGCATCAGGCATTCTTTCAATGGCATATTTCCTATTTTTTATATACATGATAGGAACTCCTGTCAATTTTCTTATCCTTTTCTGGAGAGCTCTATCACAGGTTCCAACGATATAACATTTATGACAACTTACTCTATTAAAAATACAGTCATCTGCATATGTTCCTTTATGTGCACAGGGTAATACCTCAAAACTTGATTTAATGATTTTGAGGGCAACACGATATTTAGCACCTAACTTTTGTAATTCAGCAATGATGCATTCCGTAACATAAAGAATACACTTCGCTAAGAGACAGTCCATCATGGCGGGAACCATATCTAATTTGTTTTTAATAGAAAAGTTGATAAAATTTGTATCACAAATTATCCTGAATGGAGGACCAAGTTGCTGGTTATAATTGAAGAACATTAAAGATGAAGGAATAGCAACAGCTGTTTTCTTTTTAACGACTTTGACTCTAGGCTTTTTAGGCTTTTTCGCTGCTTTAACCCTGTCATCGTTCAAGCTTAGAATTTTCGGCGTTTTTGGTTTGGGCATCTGAAGAAAAATAAAAAAAATTGATTAAGGTGATTGAGGATCAAGGGATATAGTGAAAAACTTACCTTCAATGTAATATATTGCTTTATTTCAGTTTTTTCAAATTGTCTAAGAGTAACAGAGCTTTCGGGATGCTATTCAAATATTAAAAATTAAATATTAATCACAAAAAAAGATCAAAATTTATTGATTTCAATAACACCAATAAATAAAAATAAAAACACTTTTATTGGTAAAAAGCAGCTTGCAAACATAAACACGTGAAAGTACGAAAGTATTGCCATCTGTTGTTCATGAAGTTATATTGAGCTTGAGATGGTTCATAATATCAGGCCCTCACAATAACACCAACAAGCTAAATAAGCTCTATCTTCAAATTGTGGCTCTCTCGCTTTATTGCTATTATTTTTAACAATTCTTTTAACCCAGTTTTAATTAACTTTCTTTAATTATGTTCATTAGGTGCTCTTTTTAATCGCATAATTTTATTTCAGTGATTGTTTTCTTCATCGATGTAGTTATCAGAAAGTTGGGACCTTTCAGAAGTGTGATCAAAAAAAAGAAAAGTAAGTTACAAGTTGGTGTTATCATCATTTGTTGTTTTTTAATTATAATTTATTGTATTTTTAATAGATTTTTGTCACTCTAGTTAATCAACATCAGATTCTTCAATATTTTTACTGAAAGGTAAGATTTTACACTTTGCATTTTTTCGACATTTATTTCATGTTCTTTTGTGTTTGTTACAGGTTAGACATGAAAACATGAAAATGTTGTCAACAAGGAGAAAAAATTCAGAAAAGAGGAAAGAGAAATCTCGTTTCGCTGCTCGAGCTAGACGCAGCCGAGAATCTGAAATATTCAATGAAATGGGCTCTCTTCTACCTCTACATCAAACAATTGACAAAGCTTCAACCATGAGATTGGCAATAAGCTTCATAAGGACCAGAAACCTTATTGACAAGTGTTCTTTAGAGAACAAATCAGAAGATAAAATTTTATCGCCAGATGAACTCAACAAACTAGGACCAATCGACACTCTTCTCGCTGATACTTTTTTTCTGGTTCTTACTCAAGATGGACACATGCCATATATATCCGAAAATGTTGAAAAATATCTTGGTTTGAAACAAGTCGACCTTCTTGGCTTGACTATTTTTGAATTTAGTCACCCTTGTGACCACAGTGACATACGAGATATTCTTGCTCATAAGTTTGATTCAAAAACGATTTCATTTTTGATTCGCTTTAAATGTACAATCACCAGTAAAGGAAAGACAATCAACCTGAAATCAGCTGCTTATAAAGTTATCAAGCTCACTGGACACTGGGTTGGTGATGAATCTTGCGGTTATCTTTGTTTAACTGGAGAACCTTTAGCTTGTCCGAGCAAAATTGACGAGCCTATGGCTGAATATGTATTTTTGAGTCGACATTCACCAGACATGAAATTTACAGACATTGATGAAAGGTTTGTATTTAAAGATTGACAATGTCGACCTTCCAAACCACGGCTTCATTTTTGCCCCATTTTTTATTTACAAATATTTATAACATTTGCTTATCTATTTTCTGTCCATAACAATAACATTAGATTCACTAAAATTCTTGGATATAAAGAGAGTGATTTAATTGGCAAATCAGTATACAATTTATTTCACGCTTTGGACTGTATAAATTTGAGTGAATACTTCAAAACTCGTAAGTAGAAATTATATCATTTTGTAAAAACTGTAACCTGTCTGATTCGACGAAAGGTTAGAGTTGAATGAGCTACAATTTAATTACATGTATATTTTGTCATAATGCGATTTACTCATTTGCGCATTGTCCATCGTATTTGACCTTTCTCAAAGAAATGAAAATGATTGAGTTAACTTACGATGCTGTATATACATGTACATGTATTTTTAGCTTATGCTTTCAAAATGATGACTCCACCTTCATTTGGCTTCTCTTTGATTCCTCTGAATACTCTATTTAGTTTTTGATGCATCTTCTCTCTTTATCATCATTATTGTTTTGACCATTAATGAAGTTATTGCTAAAGGGAAGATAAACAAGTGAAGCAATTATCAACTCATATGAATTGTATAACCTTGGAAGTATCAATGATGAAATAAAAAAAATAATAGCTGAATAACCCCTTTAGGTTATTAAAAACTAGTCTCAATTAAATTGATGCTCAACCCTATTGAGTTCATCTTTGAAATGGTGTCTCTGCAACAAACCATTTGGTTTATGATAAAGTAATAATTTTCCATATCTCTACATCTCCCACTATTATCACAAATATAAATATATTAATATAAATTGTAGCTCTTGGAACAATTGCAATTTCCATGTATCTAGTTTGTTGATTTGTGCAGAGGCATCCAAAGAGTTGAGCAATGTTGAAATATTCTGCATTTTCTCATTGAAGCAAAAAATGCTCGTAAAGTTGGATCCACGAAAAATCTAGAAATAACCTTGCTTTCAGGTTATAAGGACCACAAACTGATTTTCAAGTCTTTTATCGCGCGTTGAAAGAAGAGGTCTTCTCTGTCTCTTTTTGTCAAAATGGACTTGACTAATCTGAAGACAGGATGATAAGAGGGACCGAGAAGAGAGAAAGGAAAAAGACTAAAAGCTGAAGAAGATTCTGTGAGAAAAAGCATACATTTTAAAGTATGGGGACAAAATGGTTGTTTTGATGAAAAAGAGAGATTTTGCTTGAAAATGTCTCTATTCATGTTTTACTTGTCGATTGTATAACTTGCTTTTATTACAATCTATTCACATTTGATGCTTGGATCATAAGCTTTTCCCTCCTTCTTCATCTTACCTTTATTCACCTCATTCTCCCTCCGATATTTTGCAATTTAATTTGACAAGCCTTGAGGTTAAAACGCTATTCTAGCCTCGACCTTACTTCTGATGTTCCAAATAAAAAGGCTCTTCTTGCATCGTATGGATATTCAATTATCCAAAATTTATGCTTTTGCATACTTTGATTTGTCCAAATCTAATTGACATTTTGATTTTCAATTCGATATTGCTTTTTGCATTTATCTGCGTCCATGTCTCATCTTCTGAACTTTTCAATATTCAACTGATTTCATTTACCAATAACCATTCAATGGGAAATCCAAGTTTTATCTGAGAAAATGTCTAAACTTGATTTCTCTTCAATTTGGGAAACTTTTCTCTAGAATCATTTGTTTTTTTTTTCGATTGAATAAATCTGACCTTTTCAAGTATTTAATTTCTCAATACTGTCATCATATCGAACAATTTAATTGATTTGATTTTTGATTAGCTTGATTCATTGTTTTCAAAATTCATTTGAAACATTTAACGCTATTACATTATCATTACGTGTCCTTTTGTTTCATTTATACACTTGATTTCAATTATCTTTCCAGAAAAGATGAATCGTGAACCTAAATTGATTACAAGTTTGTGTTTCTTATTTTGTCCGAATCAAAGTTGATCAAATTTGTTTATTACTAGTTAATAGTCAGCTTTATTGAATTAACCAGTATGCTTACGCTTTGATTTCTTGTTGAACACTGAATTATACCAATTTTTCTGATCACATTAAAACAAATCAATTGGTTGATCATTATTCACGTAAAAGATTGTACGGTTTACTAGCAGTTACTTGACTCAAATTATTGCTATCAAATAGTTAATTTTATTGAAGTTATCCATATATCTTGAGTCTTGTATTTTGTAATTGAAATGCATAATTTCAACTGTTATAACAAGTGATTAATAGCGACTATTAATATCAATCCGCAGCAATAAGCATTTCTTGATAGCTTTGAATGATTTTGTTTTTACAGATCAACAACTTTTAACCATTTCTTGCAGCTCAACGATACTTGATCATTCCATGTTTTTGTTATTCTAAATATGATCTAGACGATTCAATTGAATATCTAGCGATTCTTATCTCTAAATATCTTTGTATCATTTCATTGGCCAACTTTTGATGAAACATTTCACGCATTAACTCTTTTTGGTTTCAGCGACATTTCAATTTGTCATTGTCATGAGTTAATTTGAAAGTAAACCAAAATGTTACAATCGTTGATCATTATAAGCTTGATTAAACAAGGTATGCTATTATAATTCATGGTAAATTCAGTTTACCCAGTTTGTAAATCTCATTGAACTATCAAAATGCTGAACATTGCATTTTCCTTTTGCTTCTCAAAATGATTAATCTTCAACCCTGTTTTTATTCATCATTTTGAGGCCAAATTAAATCCAAAATGATTGATTTTTACCTCATAAAATGGAAGGGGAAAGTTAATAGTAACTTTTATTGTTTTGTGAATTCAAATTTTGATTAGATTTTCTTTTTCCAGACAACCTTAGATCAACTTGAAACGTGATAAATCAGTGGAGGTTGGCAATTGCTGCTAAAGAAACACTTATATTTTGATTGAATTGAATGATTTCATCTTTGTGTTCGTTGAATCGGTTAGATCCGATTAACCCATTGAAACCTTGTTACTATCACCAATCCAAAAAATAGGTTTATTCATGTGAGCTAAAAAGAGCGTCTTCTATCAATAGCAAGATGAAACTGGAAGATAGATGAAAGTGAAAGTGAATGATGAAAGATGATAGATGATGATGTCCTACTTTTTTTTATTTATTCAGTATAAAAGCTCTTCTTGTTTGAATTGCTGATTCCCATCTTCCGCATTCTAGAAATGGTTAATTCGTACTTTTGTTGCGACAAAAAGGAAAGTAACAGAACAAGCTAATCAACTTTCACAACCTCATTGACCTTATGTGTTTCATTGACCCATCAAGTTGACCTGATCAGGTTATCAACACGAAGACTTTACTGTAAAAGTAAAATCAATATTCACTTGATTTTTGTTTTAAACCCAACTTTATGAACTTCACGTTCACCAATTTTATCAACGGTTTCATTGATTGATTGATTCAATCTTTTCATCGTTAAAGTGACCTTTGTCAAATAAACAAGTGATTCAATTTTAAAATGTCAGATTATTCGATGTCATTAACTTTAATGTTGATGAAACTCTGTAATTCTGTAATCAAATTTTCCTCTCTATTGATTTAACTTTTTCTTGCCTCCCATCCATAGGAATTGCCTAACACTTGGAATCATTCATCAAATCTTATCACAATTATGTCTTTCCAATCAATTATTTACCACATTGTGAGTTAAATAATAGTTAGATAAAATGCAAATTGAAATTAATCTTCCCTAATTGTTTACTTGTAATCTTAAGCTCTATTGCTGTGATTAGATATCATAATATTAATTATCGTTAATGTTTTCAAGAAGAACATTATAAACATTATTATGTTTTTTTATCATCCAATGATAGTTTCAATGGTTTCATTTGAGTTATCATTTTCTCTCTTCTCGGATTCATGTTTAAATTAATTTCTTCTCTCTTTGTATGGAATGGTTTCAGGAAAGAATTATCTCCTTTTATCGTGTGGTTTTTTTCATTCCAACGAATCACACAGAACAAAGTTGTTCTCATCATTGCTACTTGAGAAAATATTTAATTGATTAATCTTTCTATTCAATCTAATTGATTGTTGGTGTGATCCAATACTTTACCAACTCCTATTGATCAAAGATGCATTTTCCCCACCATCTAATGGTAATTAAACTAACTTGTTAAAACAATCAACTTTTTACCAGGTTAACTTGATGTTTTACTGTCCTCGACTAACGCTTTTTTAATCACAATTTTCTGAGTTAATCAGATTCTGAAAGTTGTTTGTCTGGAAAATCCTTCGAGTGAGGTGTATATTAAGAGGCCTTAATCGAACTGCAGTAACTTGAACAGTCTTTTATTATTGTATAAATTGTTTTGCCACAATCATTTTACCCTCTTACCAGAACTGGTTTACCAAGATATGATTGTACCAAATCAATTATAGTAATTAATTCGTTGACTGATAATCAATTGGTATAATTATTCACTAAATTCTGGTTCTGGGTATTGTTTATTATGCCGTTTATCATGATACAAGAAGTAATGCTTATTTTACGCATTCCCGTTAATGGTGTACCGAAACAAATGGGGAATTGTTTGTCTAGGTGATCCTTTCTTAGGACGGCTGTCCAGTTTTGAGTCTTTTCTTGAGTTGAGAAGTTTTATTATGATTATCGATTAGGAGTGTTATGTGTGTTTGAAATCGTTGAAAACTGTGTGATTTTTTGCGAGAAACTAATGTTGGTGGAAGGTGTAATTTTGTGTTTTTCAATCATAGTTTTCCTGGCGTTAGCTTTGGGGACATAGCGTTATCCAATGGATTTGGCTCTTCATATTAGACTTACGTTTATGCCATTTCTATCGTTTGCCTATTGTACTCTTCTTGTTCTAATCATCATTAATTCATCTGTGTTCTTGTAATTTAGTGTTGCTGATTATTTTACGTCTCCATCCACATCATGAAGTGGATTTCCAATTGCTTTCATTTTCGTACATTACAATCTTTGGAGTATTTCTCACATGTGATCATTAACGTCAGTCATGTTGTCAATGTCTTTGCTCTCTATGAGCTTTTCAATTTTTTCGAGGTAGTTGAAGTATTTGATCGACTTGTTGTTGGTTATTTTATCTTTTAAAGTAATGTTGGATGTAATTTCGTGATGATCATTTTTCTGTGTTGCTTCGACTTGGGTTTGATATTTGAAGGTGGAATTGTGAAGA